TCGCTGTGAGTTGGGTCTGACTCGACGGCAAAACAACTACAGCTTCACCTGGCTTTCTTCCAACCACTCTGCCTCCTTTGGGGCCACTTCTCCCCATCATCTCTGTGGGCACTGAACAAACCACCCTTGCCTTGGTCCTCTGCTCTTCTTCCTATTAACACTGCCAAGTATTTATTGATCAGGCATTCATTCCCATACAAAGCTCATTCTTACAACTAAAAGTACCACCTCTGAACTGATTACTCCAAACTTTCCCCTCTAGCTCGACCCTCCATATCCATTTCTCCAACTGCATATAAGACTCCCCACCTGGATACTGTCACCCTAACATTAATAAGCTCAAAACTGAAGTCACACTTTTTATGACCCTCACCTAATCAATGTTTCAGTCCCTTTTAAAAACACCCCTATCACTACTAAACTGTAAGTTTCTGGAAGATAGAAACCTACTTGTCACTGTATACCTGACCATATAGTTCAGTCTATCAGGCTCATGGTAGTGAAGCCTGATGATTAACAAATCAACAAATCACCCAGTTTCTATAAAGTGCCTCTGCTGTTGGTACTTAACCTGCTACCATTGAGTCGATTCCAACCCATAGTGACCCCCTTTGGGCTTCCAAGGTGGTAAATCTTTACGGAAGTAGATTGCCCCATCTTCCTTCCGCGGAGTGGCTTGTGGGTTTGAACCGCCCAGCCAAATGCCTTAGGCACTACGCCATGAGAGCTCTTTTTGTTGGTAGTTATCCTCTAGTTAATTCCTACTCATGGCAACCCTATGAGTCTAGATTAGAACTGCTCCATAGGATTTTCAAGGCTGGACCTGTCTTCTGTGGTGCCTCTGGGTAGGTTCGAACTGCCAACCTTTTCACTCACTGCCATCGAGTGGATTCTGACTCACAGCAACCCCCACTGGGTTTCTGAGGCAGTAAATATTTATGGAAGTAAGATTGTATCACCCTCCTTCTGTGGAGTGGCTGGTGGGTTTGAACCACAAACTTTCTGGTTAGCAGTCAAATGCCTTAGGCACTTACACCACCAGAACGCCTCAAGATGCCTCTGAAACAAAAACAACAATTCACTGCCATCGAGTCAATTCCAACTTTGGGTTTCTAAGGCTGTAAATCTTTATGGAAATAGATTGCTCCATCTTCTGCGGAGCAGCTGGTAGGTTTGAACCATTGACCTTCTAGTTAGCAGGCAAGTGCCTTATCCTACATCACCAGAGCTCCTTCAAGATGCCTCTAGTAATACAGAAATATTTTTGAGGGATGACATTTCATTGTTCAACAGCTCCAGAAATTAAATGTTATTTCTTGAGTTTAACTGAAAGTTACTTATTTTTTTTTCATTTATTATTTCCCAGTTTTCCTCTCTAAGGAGCTCTTGTGGCACAGTGCCTAGGGCTGACTGCCAAACAGATGGTTGGCAGTTCAAACCCACCACCCATGCTGGGAAAGGAACATCGGACAATCTACTTCTGCAAAAATTTCCTGCCTTGGAAACCTAATAGGGGGTCGCTATGAGTCAGAATTGACTTGATGGCAGTGAACTTGGTTTGGCTTTGGTTGTTTTCAGTTTTCTTCTCTGGGGTCTTAGAGTAAGCCCAAAATCTTCAAGCTGTGGTTCTCAAACTTCTTTGCAAATTAGAATCACCCAGAACCTTTAAAAAATTCGAGGCCATGCCTAAAAGCAATTAAATCACAGTATTTGGGGGTGGGATGCAGGCATCAGTATATTTTGATACTCCCAAGTGGTTCCAATGTGCAGACATATTTGGGAATCACAGTCTTCAAGTATTTGAAAGGCTACATATCCCACAACCATTACCTCCTTTAACAACTTTTAATATGAAGTAATTTTGCCTACTCTATAAATATATACCGAGTGCCTACTGTGAGCCTAACATTGGAAAACAGTGGTTAATAAGACCACAACCTGGTGGAATTTACATCTATTGGGTGGTGCAATAACTAAGGCATCTGACTGCTAACCAGTAGGTTGGTTGTTCAAACCCACCAGCCACTCTGCAGAAGGAAGACTGGGCAATCTACTTCTGTGAAGATTCACTGCCTTGGAAACCCAATGGGGGTCACTATGAGTCAGATGGCAGTGGGTTTGGTTTTGGTTTTTGGTCTGGGGTCATTCAATCTCTCACTCTTGTCAACCTGTGTTCAAGTCAGTCACCTATCGATCACCTTCGCTATGTTTGTTATCATTACCCCTGTCAATTGCTTTACCTGTTCCACGACACTTAGTACTATTGATGTATATTATATGTGTACATTCCAAGTCCGTAAAAACCAAAAGTAAACCTACTGTCATGAGTTGATTCCTAATCATAGCGACTCTTTGTTGTTGTTGTTATGTGCCGAGTCGGCCCGACTCATAGCGACCCCTCCTTGGGTTTCCGAGGCAGTATCACTACGGATCTGGTAGCATAGTGGCTAAGACACTTGCCTGCTAACCAGACGGCTGGCGGTTCAAACCCACCAGCCACTCCTCGGAAGGAAGGTTGGGCAATCCTACTTCCGTAGTGATACTGCCTCGGAAACCCAAGGAGGGGTCGCTATGAGTCGGGGCCGACTCGACGGCACATAACAACAACAACAACATCACTACGGAAGTAGGATTGCCCAACCTTAGGACAGAGTAAAATGCCTCACAGTGTTTCCAAGGTTGTAAATCTATACAGAACAGACTGTCTCGTCTTTCGCCCAAGGGGCAGAGTGGCTGGTGGGTTTGAACCACCGATCTTTTGGTTAGCAGCCAAATGCTTTAAACACTAGGCCAATGGAGCTCCTTTCAACTCCATAAAGGCAAGGACTTCTTTTCTTTTGTTCATGTTGCATCCTGAACCCTGAACAATGTCTGGCCTGAAGACAGTAGTTAAACATCTACTTAGTAATCATAGCTTCTGCTCTCATCCCGACTGCCACCATCAACATTCACTTGAGCCACTGCAAGAAATCCCTACTTCAACTCCCAGCCTCAGGAAATCGCAGCCCTCATACCGAGTTTTGACACTATTGCTTCCAACCGGTTTACTTCTCTGAACACATAGCAAAGAGGTAAATGAGTTTTCACAAATGTTCTTTGAGTTTGAAAACGCGTCGGAGTAGCCGTGGAGAAGCTGTAACCTTGTCAAGAAAGCTTTCGGGGGATTTTCTACCCCAAGCAACAATAACGCGTCCCAGGCAGTCCGTGAGGTCCACGTGTGTGAATTTAGGGGCGTGGCGTGGACTCCCTAGGCCCAGAATACCCAGACCCTCTGGGCTGCAGGCCCTGTCACGGCCCCAACCCACCTCACTCCCGCCAGTCCCACCAGCGCCCCGTTTAGGGCCGCAAAATGGTCGTTTTCATCATCTCCGAGCAAGAAGGCCTCACCTTGTCTGGCGTCTCTTTGGCCACGCCACAGCGGACCCAGGACACGCACGTCACCTGGCGGCTACGGTTCATGGTCCTTGGCTCAAGGCCGCCTCACGCGAACTTCCCAATCACTGCGGGACTGGGACTTAAGTAGAAGTCGAACCAGCACACTCCGGGACGCGAGGTAGACTTCTGCCTTGGCAGAGCGCAGGCGCGAAGCCGCTCGCTGCTGCACCGGCGCCTACTTCTGACGTTATTCTAAGGAGCCCAATGAGAAAGGGGCAGGGAAAAGATCGGCTGCGAGAGCAGCCAGATGAATCGACGAGGGCTTTATTGTACTGTGTAGAGAGAGGAGAAGCTGCTGTTTGGGATTATCCGGCTTGTGCCAGAGTCTCTGGGCTTTGTGGAGGCAAAGAAAATATTTGGATCTAGATTCAGTCAGAGAAGGAATTCTGCCAACCTTCACTTTATCTTCTTTTTATGTGCCGTGGAGTTGTCTGGACTTATAGCGATCTTCTGTACAACAGAACGAAATACTGCCCCGTCCTGTGCCACCCTCACAATCCCTGCTATACCTGAGCCCATTACTGCAGCTACCGTGTCAATCCATCTTGTTGAGGACCTTCCCCTCTTTCATTGACCCTCCACTTTACCAAGCATGACATCCTTCTCCAGAGAATGATCTCTTTTGCC